TTTTAGAAGTTCTAGGAACCACTAGTAAACCTGCAGATTGAGAGCGAAGTGCTCTGTTAGGAACATAAGGAACAATCAGATCTCTGATGTTCACTGGTTTCTTTTTTTATTTAAAGCGACTCGTTTCCTGCTTTCATTTGTCCTCTCTGTCGCTGCTCCAGAGTAACACGGTGCTCCACCTGGACATGGGGACGGGGGCCGTCCGCAGGCTGGTCTTGTCTCCAGACACTGATCAGACCTCCTCCAAGGCCTCCGGCTGGTGGAGCAGCAAAGATCAGCAGGTCAGAGAGGAGCTCCAGACAGAGACTTTTTATCCGCTGCTGCTCTGGTTTGACTGGTCTCTGTCTGCAGGGGGGCCATAAGATGTGTCGCGACTTTTCCCACAAAAACTGGCTGCTCTTCTATAAGGAGGACGGGTGAGACACTCGGACGCACGCCGTCCACGGCGGCTAAAAGGCTCCGTCTGATCGGCTCCTCTGTCTGTCCAACAGGAACCAGCTGGAGGTGCTGGACGTGCTGGAGGGCCAGGTTCACTCCATCTCCCTGCCAATCAATTTGAAGTCGGTCTTCCTGGTTGCGGAGGACAGGTGGCTTCTTCTGGAGAGCAACACCAACAAGTCAGTGGATCCTCCCAACTCTCTTCACTGGTTGATTTTTTTTTTCTTAATAAATGTGAAAATGTTTTTTTTTTTCCCTTTCAGGAAGTTCCTGCTGACCAAACCCATGCACACGGCAGCGGAAGATTCAGGCGTCTGTCAGCTTCACAGCATCAGCGAGGACCCGGTCAGCGCTGGTCATGGAGCCGCTTCTGGTGGGTCACATGACCGCTTCATCCGCCACATTTCTTCAGGCGTTGAGGTTTCCACCAGAGAGCAGAATAATTCAGTTCTATTCAGTCTATTTCTATACGGCCAAGTCACATCATGTCATCTCAGGTTATAGAGACGATTCAACCAGATCAGATTGGTTCATTCTAGAAGCTCTCAGTCCATATAGACTTTCCACTTCTAGATACGTTCCAGTCTCAGTCTGAATCATGACAAAGTGTTTGTAACTCAGGAAATCTGCACCGAAATGTAAAGTAAACTTCCTCTGGATGGTTGAAGCATATCGGCAGCAGATCTTAGGACTCGACATAACGATTAGGAACCATTTTCGCTGTAACTCTGTTTTCTGTTTTTCCTCCCAGCCGAGGCTGTCGTGCCTCAGATGCTGTCCAACGAGCAGCTGCCCAATGAGAACCTCAGCGCCGCTCTGGAGCAGAAGATCGTCTCCCCAAACCGCCTGCTGGCCGACAGCAGCTGCTTTGCACAGATCATCGTGGGATTCCCGGACCTAATGGTGAAAACGGGCTAATATCTGAATCCACTCCGATTTAACGTCTGATCCGACAGAGAATCGTGCCTTAGAGGCCGTGATATTTTGCGCTCATTAAGAGTCAATGGGGATGATTTCCAGCAGGGGGCAGCGTAGCTCCGACTGACATAGAGCCCAGGTCTGTTTTAATCGGACTACGCAGAAATTCAGCAGCAACTTCATGGGTCTGACAGGAAGAGAGACGCGGTTAGAAAGTAAAACAGATCTGCTTTGGAGGAAAATGGAAAATAAAATCTGTTAATCTGATGGAGAAAGAGTCGGTTTGGAGTCACACATCGCGTTTATAGTGAGCAGGACCGACTGGAGCAAAAACAATGAATGAAACATTAAAATAGAAAAGTTTCCCCCTGATGGGAGTTCAGGAGGACAGAAACGGATAAAGTAGAGATCCTCCAGAATGAGGAGGAGCAGACAGAGCAGCGTATCTCTCTCACCTCTTTAGGAAAAAAGAAAGAAAAACTGAGAAAAACTTCCAGATCTCTCTGAGAATCACCTCTCTGTCGCCATAGAAACCGTCCCACAGAGTTTATTGCTGCGTTTTTCTTTTCTTTAGACGTAGATCTCATTATGTTTTAATAGATGAACATTCTCTATCTGCTCTGGTTCTAGATGCTGCACAGACTCAATAAGTAGAGCTTTGCTTTATAGAATGTACAGGTGGTTTTTTAAAATTTATTTCTAAGTAACTTTTCATTTTAATGTGTGTCGTATGAAAAAAGTTTTCAACTATTCACCCCAGTTAAATAAACTCAGTCTGTACTTTATTTTTATCTTTGCAAAGAGAGAACAGTTCATCATACATTATTATTGCACGGTAATCAGCCCTGTTCTGATCTGAGCAGCGTTCGTTCCGCCTTACTTACAATAACGACTAAAAAAGAATTACTGACACTTTGGTTAAACGGTAAAATGTTATGAATAAACCTCAAGAAAGAATCTGGTTTGTTATGGGAAGAAGGGAAGAAGTCTGTCTTTTCTACAAACAGCTTCACTCAGGGGAACTGTGAGGCCTTGATTAAGTGAAACCTTTTATAGTGAGTAATTAGCATTAATAGCATACATTTTACAGAGCATAGAGACAGAGGTGTAGAAAACCTGTGCAGATCTGCTCACCCTGCCTAGTAGAAGCCTTTCTATAGCAGGCAGCGAGACAAAAATCGTATCGGAGATTAAAAAGTCGCAAGCGCAGGCGA